ACTAGTCATTCTTATTCACTTGTTGTATTCAACACAGTCCCAATTAGTAACCACTAGTCATTCTTATTCACTTGTTGTATTCAACACAGTCCCAACTAGTAACCACTAGTCATTCTCATTCACTTGTTGTATTCAACACACCAACACAGTCCCAACTTGTAACCACAAGTCATTCTTATTCATTTGTTGTATTCAACACACCTACACAGTCCCAACTAGTAACCACTTGTCATTCTAATTCACTTTAAATCATATCTTAATGGCCATCTTACCTAAAAAGAATATCCTAGGAATGTATCCACCATCTTGCTGGAATTGAGGATCTTTTGGCTCTTCGTCGTCCTGTGAAACAGATGTGGCAGCCATATTCACTGGAATGTTAGACTTTTGCCTGCATAGGCTCACATTCAAAAGTCTCATGACAAGGCTACTTGGGTTTAAACAATGTTTTTTGCCCTTACTAGAAATACTGTCAGTCTAGCTAATTTTTTTCCCTTTCTTTTCTTTCCGTTCTTTCTTTCTTTCTTCCTTTCTTTCTTTCTTTCTTTCTTCCATCCTTTCTTTCTTTCTTTCTTCCTTCCTTTCTTTCTTCCTTTCTTTTTTCCTTTCTTTCTTCCTTCCTTTCTTCCTTCTATACATCCATTCATTCAAACCAATTATCCAGTGACCCATTTCATTCATTCATTTATTCGTTTTTATTCACCTGGATGTTCACCATCACAAACTTTTTACTCAGTTCAGCAATTTCTTTAGATGCTGCAAACTTTGGCTTCAGAGCTGAATCAAGAATAATATTAGCATAATGAGTCACTCAGTATCTAAATCCCCATCTTGGTTTCTGCTTTGCTTTCATTTTGTAATATATATATATAGTTACACTACAAGTCTCAGCAAGCCCTTCCAGGACAAATAAAGGGGAAAAGAAGGAGGGGAGACATCAAGACAAACAGGACCCCACCCAGTACCTACTATTCTGTCCCTTCTTAGGTCAATCCTTATTTCCCATTTTTCTTTTCTCCAGTTAATGAATGAGTAGAAGCATGAGACCTGATACATATTGCCATGGTAACCATATTTTCTCACCTTTACATGCGCCACACCATGTCTTATGAATCACCATCATCATAGGCCTGTGACTACAAAAAGGTAAACTACTTAATGAGTGATCTAATGTCTTGCTCATAATTTGTGAGTCAGATGATTAATATCCATATTTATTATATAGTTAGGATAGTAGGCATGTGCTGATTGCTCCAAAACTGTGCTTTATTAGTGAATGGAGCACAGGGTTGACCCCATCTGCATGCGCGAAGTGCTGCTAGATCTTTTGACTGTCTTTCTATTTGTGTAAATAAATTCAATACCGAAATAAAATTAGTTAGTAACTACCGTAAACGAATTAAAACAGCTTTTTCCGTGCTCCGTTCAGTAATAAAGCACTTAGGAAGTGTGACAAGCACTCGGCCATTGGTCGGTCTTCTCCTTACACTTCCTTCATATTTATGCCACTTCCTGCATGCTTTATTACTTAACAGAGTATGGAAAAAGCTGTTTTATTTGTTAAATACAGTTTTCCCATTCCATATCATGTCATTTCTTAGAGTATTGTGACTTTATTATGACTGATATGCAGGATGAAACCTCTCCGAACCAAACAATGATATGAAATATGGTCTGAAAACATTGCATTCATTGACCACTGTAAAGGAAAGGAGAAAGGTCTTGTCAAGACACAATCTAACCAATCAAATTACTTGACTTAGTAATGCCCATTTCAGAAGTGAAAGACTTTTTAGTCTAATATGAAAGATATCATTATCTTATTTACCTAGTTTTTGCCTCTTCTTTTCCTTCTTCAAATGTCTTCCATTTTATATCATCTCCCCATCCTAATACGACAATCATCACATCAAGAAACTCATGCATTTATACTAAGGGTATATGCAGTCTAGGGTCAACGATAAAACAGCAGTTATATATTTGGTTGGAATCAAATCTCCTTTCCCTCCCACTCACCAAGAAGAGAAGGCTATGTATCCACAAGTTAGATCTTTATTTCAGAAATTATAACTCCACCTTAAATCCCTCAAATCTAGACAAAAGATTACTAACTTAAGAGTGAAAATGATATTAAGGCTTATCAGTTTTACAGAAATTTCAATTTCTAATAGTGTTTTGCATTTAAATTCTGACACCAATAAACACTATATAGTTCCGGTGTTTAGAAACGTTAGGCATTAAAACCTTTGCGGTCAAATTCTTAAGGTTATGAAAACTCTTAAGGTTATAAATAATTACGACAAATGTTTTTACCTCTTGAATCGATGGAGAGACAAGGAGAAACCACAGAAAACACCACCAAAAATCCCATCACAAGAGCAAGACTCAAACGAGTCGAGAGGTTAATATTGGTGCGATTTGTTTGTTCCATTTTGAGATTTGACGAGGTTCACAGTCTTAGAGTATGTAGGAATAAAGTATTCTGAATAATATGGTAATATGGAGGCTGCAGGTGCTATGTTAGAATAATGGAGTTTGTAAATAACTGAGGATCAACAATAAAGACCTAAAGATCTCAAAACACAATTTTTGTCGAAAACTTCTAGATCGTATAAAGACCCGATGCTTTTGGTAGCCTGGTAATTGTGATGAATAAATCTTATAAAGCTACGTAGTTAATGATTACAGGCTGATTAAACGAGATTTTTTGAAATCCATGGAAACTAAATCATTCAGAAAAATATTGTTTTGTTTTGGACGTTATCTTGGTTTATGCAAATGAGTAACGCAAAGCATGACGGGGATAGAAAAAACAGATGGAAAGAAACGGTCATGTGTCGCCTGTCAGGTGGGGCGAGGGGCGAGGGGCGAGGGGTGATCGAGGGGATTTCTTGCAGTTATTTTATCATATCAAAGTGGTAGTATACATCTTTTATAATTAGTTCCAAATTGAACTTAAGCAAACTTGTAGGAATTCAGAACTGAAGAAAAGTCGCTTATATGTTATTGTAAAGATTGCACGTTTTTTAGTCATTTTCTTAATGAGTAAAACACTGATATCTTGATTGTATAAATATAACGATTTTAAAAGATTTTAAAAGTCTTTTATGCATGTGATTTCCCCTTAAGGCCTATTTACACGGCACGATTTGCCGCGTTCGACTTGACGTATACGGCAAAATCAGCCCAAAATCGGGTGGTGTAAATAGGCCTTTAAAAGCTCGTACGGAAGTCCATGAGGGATATTGTCGCAAATGAAAAATATTGAGAATTGAAACAGTAAACTTCTCCCAGGAGGTATTTTAAATCAGGAAAACAGAGCCGTAACCAGAACTTTTACAGGGAGGGTGCACATCGAATAAAATCGGACCATTGATCCGGTTTTCATTACCAACTCAGTGGCGTAACTAGGGATCTTGCAGGGAGGTGCACAGGCAATGATTTTCAGAACCAAAAAAAAGGTAAACAAAAAAAAGCAGAACCACGAAAAAAAAAAAAAAAGCAGATGGATGAGTGGACCTTAAGCCGATGGGGGGTTCACGTGCACCCTGGTTACGGCCCTGGAAAATACACTTGATTTTTCCTATCGAGATTGCTTACTTAATTATTAATTTAGAATACGAGTAAAAAGGAATAGGTTAGTCACTCAACGGATGCTGCCAAATTTATAATAATATGCATTAAAGAAATATTATCTGCATAAGATAGGTATTCGAGCCCACCGACAGAAAATAAAAATAAATAAAAAATCGATTCTACTTTGCCATACCCCCGAGACATCCGCAGAGCTGAGGCGTCGTATGGACTTCGGACCTGACGGCGATTAAATCCTTCTGCCCTTGGGTGTACGAATTACGCAAGAAAAATGTTCTAGCCGAAGCATCAGGGGAGAGACCAGCCGGCCCCCAGACCATATCGGCTAATCCCTTGCATCTCTGCCACGCACGGAATCGGTTGAAAAATAATTTGTCAAAAAGTCTAGTCTATTTGAGGCATTGTTTTCACGGCTATTGTTATGCTGATTCACCTGGAAACGTGGTCGAGTGAAAAAAACTTGGGAACCATAAAAACTGAATCAAGTCCGGTTGAGCGAAGTTAGTACCTGGATGGGTGACCTGAAACTTATGCGTATTAAAAAAAGTTATTGCATCGCAATGAGCCGAAATTAAGCCATGGGGCTGTTCAATATATCAACAGCACACGGTGAGAGTTTTATTTGATTTTATCGATTTTAAAGCAGAAAAGTGAGGATTCAAAAATACCTATATATTCTTCGTATAATACCCATATAATCTTTGTCTGTCTGTCTCTCGATCGTATTCGCCGTTATTCAACACCGTCAGCATTCTATTTTTGGCAGGAGGTTGGTCTTCCTGTGTTGACGTCATACTTGCGTCAATATCAAAACGCAGCTTGGCTTCGAGAAGGAACAGAGAGAAAATTTAGCTCGATTGAGAGGAAAAAAAATGCCCGGACAAATCTTTAGGACGTGTTGTTGTTGTGATCTAAGAACTGGTGTCATACTTATCGCACTGTTCTCCATGGTAAGTTATCTTTGCTTTTTTACTCCGACGAAGAACTAGCGTCCGAAACGTCAGTAAGTTTTTTCATCTTTTCACGGTGTATAATTTACCTTTTTATCATTACTGTTTCATTAGAAAGAAACACCAACGCAGCTCACACTAGTTTTTAGCTATTTATCTCTTCTAAGTTATCTATATATTGTTTATATCGCAACTTTGGTCGTGAAGTTCTACGAGACTTGATCATGAAGTGTCCCTTGTTTGTCAAGAAGAAGGCTAAAATCGCTCGTCTACTGAATAATTCTTTCATTACGGGACTAAAGTCACCATTTTATCTTATAAATTTGAAGAATTATCGAGATCGTGAATTTTTTTGGTCGTAGGACAACCGAAAGTGAAACAGAGCTGTTCGATTTAGTAACTTTACTTTCATATTTGATCTCCATCTGGAAAATGTCCAATTATGTTTAATGGCAAACCGTCAAGCTTAATAAATTATTCGTCGTTTGAAAAGTTGGCTTTCAAATCAAAGTCTATTTATTCACAACTGTTAATTTTTCATCACTATTTTTGTCAGTCACCCGAAAAAATAATAATAAAAGATTGGAAAAATAAAATTGAATATAATATTGCGTTACGAACATAGAATAATACTCTGCATCGACAAAACGTGATTGCTCAAAAGCAATAAAAAAATAACAACTTAAAATTAATTATGAATGCTATAAACTCGATTCTTTGATATGTTTTAGAGAACTATGATGTGACTAAGTGTAGAAAATTTCAGATCGTTTCATTGTTTTGTTTCCGTGTTGTGCGAATCTTATTTTCTAATCGGTAACCTCACCTGAAAAGGCAAAGAAACATAGATATTTTTGCCAAATCAAACCATTTTAGTGTTGTACAAGTTTATAAATTAGATTTGTACATGTTTGAAGTTAATTTGATACATTTTTGTCATTAAATATTTTTTTGAAATTTTGGCCGCCATGTTGGATGATACTATAAACTAATTAGGATTTTGAGACAGCAATTACCACAAATTAGCAAATACCATCTTGTGTACTTCCTAAGAAGGCGCTCGCTCATTGGTTAATTGGAGGTGAATATTGTACAAGCATGTTCTCAAGCTTTCCTTTTCGTCATGCCTTAGCCAATCAGAACCTTGATTTTGAAACGACAATACCACAAACTATTTAGTGAATCGCAATACTAGATATCATCCAGCGAGTTTTCGCCATACATTTACACTAAAATATCGGTAACTTCGTTCGCTCATAGCTCGTTTAAGAAATTCTCGAATGCTGGCAATTTTTTGCTCAGAGTTGTATTATAAGTAGCTCTACATGGTCATAAGGATTGTTTTTTGATTGGAACCAAAAAATACTTTAGCACCAGCAAAATACACGTGTATTTTTCTTATCTTGCATTTTTTAAATATTACTTAAATATTAGGATTGTATAGACACGGCTAAAAAACCGCTGATTGGCTAATTTAAATCTCAACTGAGAGTGCGTATGGTTTACCGCTGATTTTATCGCAGGCGCTCTGACAAAATGGCGGACCGAGGAAAGGATTCCTGTCGAGCATTTTTCCTTCCGAAAATCGCAGTTTTTATCTCAAACACCTTGATCATATGCCGTAGTTTATCAAGAAAACGATACAAGCGAGTAACACGATGCCCGGTAGATGGTAAATTGTCAAGTTTTCAGTCTGATTCGGACAAAAACAAGTCATCGATAAGCTTACTTTGATAAAAAGACAGAGAAGGAATRTAATTATTGTTTTCTTGTTCCAAGTCTATTTCAAGATTCTGAACTTGAAAAGCTCATCGATTGTCAAGATAATCAAGTAAATATAGTCATGGATGCTGTAAATTTTGAAATTCGTAATAAAAGTTATAGGTGAACATGCTTTTACCCCAATTATGATGTAAAATACCTTACTTATAAATTCTGGTACTCGCAAATTTTCAACAAATTTCAATAACGTGAGGTAAAATCATAGATATGCCTTCGCTTGGGAATTTCCCAAACGAAAAACACAACAAAAAGCAAAAAAAAGCAACAACAACAATAACAATAAATTATTCAAACAGTTTCATAAGTTTCAAGACGATTTTGAACACAGACTGAAGTTGCTGTTAAAAGGCTAGTTTAATCACCTCCTGGTTTACAATTAAATATTTTCATCACTATTAAAAGGAATCAAATGCAAATTAGAGTCTATATTAGGATATCTCCAGTCATATTACTTTCATTTCAGTTCAATAAGTTCATAT